TTGAACACACAATATCCGTAGATATTGGCACAGGCCTTAGAAACCTTTGCTAATATTTATAATTCATTCTCTTTACTCAAGTTTAATTGCCTCTCTCCCAACATCATATGCTTATAGTGATTCTCAGTGAAACCCACTATCCAGAAACGCTGTAACATTAGGTTCGAATTTTCGAACTGAACTTTTCGTCAGGTTCAAGTCTGGTTCAAGCTCGAACTGAACCAGACTCGAACTGAACCAGACTTTTTTTCGGAACCCTAATCCACATATCTCAAATCTCGTCATTTACATATTTTTGCTACATATCACTGTCATTACCTAGCCAAAATTGATCTTGCCTCCATAGCATGAACAGAAATAAAATCCCATACTGACAAATATTATTGTCTAGTCTCTGTCAAAGCTACCAGAATTTTTGCTGAGATCTTTGCAGATAAAACTGTTATTATCTCCCAGGATGACAAGGTAAAAATTGGTTTGAACATTCTGGCAGTTGGTCGTATCTTTAAAACTATGCAGACAGTTAGTGAACCTGTTTCTATTGAAAATTATGACTTTTCAACTAACAATAAGATGAAACTTATACTTTCAGTTTATTTTGTTATCAACCTGGTTGATTCAAATGATGCTCTATGATCAGATCAGCTTGCAATTTTTGTGAGACCAAAGTATTTTGTTGATACAATATCATCAACTCATATATCAGATCTTTAAAATATTGTTGCAAATTAATATTTCATCAGAGCTTTGACAAAAAATGATCAAGTTAGACTGATCTGAATTTTTCTTGTTGACGGAGGACCTGATAAAAATCCAAGACATTAAAAAATATAATTGAATATTGCAAACTTTTTCATAGTCTCAATCTCGACTATTTAATTATTTGTACTCATGCTCCAGAACAAAGTATATATAATCCTATCGAACGCAGTATGACTTCTCTATTCACAAAGCTTGCTGGCATCACTTTGTCCGTTAATAAGTTCAGATCATATCTTAATAGTCAAGGAAAGGTAGTAGATGATAATTTAGCATGACAAAATTTTGAGTTTTCAGGAAAAAGCTTATGTGATTTGTGAAAAAGAAATGAGATATATGACAAATCTGTTATAGTAGAGTATGTCAACCAAGAAAATTAATCATTCACTGAAACAGAGTCAATATTATGGGAGTGACTAAGGATGATTGCCGAAATGACGTCATCTAATTAAATAATTTGCTGAAATTAACTTGCTGAAATTAAATCCGAAATTATTATGACTTATTTTATTAGTAGCCAAAATTGTTTTCTGAAATTATTTGGATTCTACAAATCAAAACAAGCATTTCTAGGTGATTTTTAAGTATTCATTAATATAAGCAACATAGCAAAACTGAATTATTTGCCGAAATACCATTTTTTCCAAAAATAATTTAGGAGACCATCTTTAGGAGTGACTCAAAAATTATATACAAATATATCATTATTCACTAAATATAAAAAAATATAAAAATCGTCAGTGTTGCAATGAATATATTGCTTCAGATGCAATTCTTCTTTTGAATCAAAATGATGGATTCCTATCTCCTATTATGAAAGACAAAGATGAACACTTCATTAACTCAATATATGTTTTTTAGTACTATAATAAATTCAAAATTCTATCATATGATCATTATTACTCATCGATTTTACAAGAATTACACCAATGACTATATTATAATATATGTAATAGATACTTTTTCTTTCTTAAGTTTATAACTAACCACAAGTGAAACAAATATCCTTCAAAATGTGGACGTCCACCCAAACAAAAGACACAAACTTATAATACTGCTGAAGACATATTGCAAGGAATCCCACAGGTAGTTATAAAACAGTACGAAACGCAATCAGATGTTGAATAGAATAGAAAAGTATATCAAATAGAGTGAGCAAGAATATAGTGTGAGAAACTTTATTAATATAATATGACTTGATTGATCAATCAAATAATTGATAATTACGTGGTTAGAATCGAATACTTGCCAATACTATATGACTTGATTAATTAATCAAATAACTAATAATCATGTATTTGAACCTGATATTTTGTCAGAGATCCCCCACTCAGAGTCAATATTACATGATAAATGACACTCCTCTTATTATATTTTATTAGTTAATTTCATATTTATATTTTATTGGATAGTTATTTTTAGATAGTGATTACTTCAAATGATCACTTTGAATGATTATTCCAAATAATCATTCCAATTGATTATTTCAAGTACTCCAAATGATTATTTTAAATAATCATTTTATAATTATCAAATACTTATAAATACAGCTTGTATCTTAATTTAAATCAATAATAATAGCTTTCAAGTAATAGTTAAAGTTCAATAGCTCTCAAGCAATAACTCATATAGTAATAGTTCTATAATTCTATAGCTTTCAGGATCTCAAGAATAATAAATAATAATTAAAAACATGTAATAAATTAATGATAAATTCATCTAATAATAAACTTATATTTTATTATTATTAAATTATAATTTTATAATAAAATTACATATTTATTACATAAAATTCTTTAAATTATTAAAAATTCCAGATCTTATTCTAGCTAATTACATTATAAACACACTGTTATCTTTCTTTAGATTTGTTTATAATCATAGTTTAATACTTGACGCATTATATAAATTTGATTATATTATACTCTTCTATTTGTCATTCTTAATAAACTTTACTATAATTATCCTGACTAAGTAACTTATTATAATGATTAAGTACTTTCTAGCTCTCTCAAGAACTCATAAAATATGATAACAATATCAAAATAAAAATTATAAGTTATAGATTAACATATATTTTTTCTGAATTTTCTAGATTCCTTTTTGATAAAGTTATTCTAATTGCAAAATTATTGCAAAAATTTTTTATAATTAATTTTATATTTTAATTATAAAAAATTCTTTGCAATTAAAAAAACTTTGTCAGAAAAAAATATATATTAAACTATAACTTATAATTTTTAATTTAATATAAAAATAAAAAATATTTATTAATAAAATTGAAAATTTTTATATAAAACAAAAATTTTAATTTTTATTCTATTTTATTAATAAAATTATATATATAATTTTACAATTCTGTTAGTCACTATAATTAAAGCTAATATTAAACAAATTTTTTTTAAAATATTTTAATTTTTAAAAAAAATATATTAAATATAAAGTTATGAAATTTTAATAAATAAATTTGCCTATTAAATCTGATAATTTAAAAATTAATATTAATATTTCACTAATTTTATCTGTAATACTTAAATTAATTTTGTATTATATTTATTCTTCTTAATATTATATATATTATAACTTGAATTTAATATTTTTTATATTATATAATCAAGAAAATAATAAATATTTATAAATAATTAAACAAACTTAATAATTATAATATAATTAATATAATAATACTAGCAAAAATAATATTTAAAGTAATATTAGTATCATAACTAAAATAATATTTATATAATTATAATTAAACTTCTTTATAATTATTATCTTTAGGAAAGCAAAATTTGGTGATTATAAAGAAAATGCGATTATAGATTTTGTTATTATATTTATATATAAATGAAAAGCAAAATAAAATAACTATAAAAAGATATAACTATAAATGAATGTGATTATAGAGAGATTTGATTATATTAAATAATATATAAGTAATATATTTTAGCTAATGAGTTAATAAATTTTTATATCTTGAGCTTTAAAAAAATGTTTTTTATAATAATTTGTAATTTATATTGGTTATTACTATAAATTTTTTCTTATTTTCATATTTGATAATTCTAATATTAATATAATTATTCAATTAATTATTAATTATTAATTAACAATTAGAAATTTGTTTGATTAATTATTATGAGAAAAAGGTAAAATTAATTTTATTACATATATATAATTAGTATTATATAAATAGATATTATTTTATTTTGTTAATAAATTATTCAATTATTAACTTATAATTAAAGTTATTATAAAGACTTATTAGCTTGTGTTATAATTTTTGAAAGTTATATTGAAATTATCTAATATTAGCTTAAATCTAAGTCTTCCATTATAAATCTAGTAGAATCATATGAATAACATAAATATTTTAAATTCAATTAAAATAATAACAATATAAAACCATTTTTTCTTAAATATAATTCTTTATAAATACAAATTGATAACTGGCTTCAAGAGATACATTTAGAAAATTTTCTCTATGTATTATAAAAATTTTAGTTTTTTATAAAACACTCAGAATATAAAAAACTGTGACTATATGAAGATCAAATTTCTTATGCTTTATAATAAGTTGGAAACTGAAAAAATGATTATATGGAAAATGACTATATAAAGGTTTGACTGCACTGAATTCGCTCTAAAGTTACCTTAATTGTTCACAAATATTTGCAGCAATGTCTTTTGCTTTTCAAAGAGAGTTTTTTTTAATGTTAGATGTTATTCAGTAAAACTTCAAGAATAACAATAAAAAAATCTTTGTTGATGATCTACAGTCTATTTAGATAACGCGCAATCGATGACGCATTAAATGTTCATTTTTTTACATTCGTATCCACCATTAAATATTTGCTTTTTATTTAATTATAAAGATAATGGACGCATATGTGAATGCTTTTCGAACAACAGTACCAACATGGTTTGATGGAGGTATACCTAGTAGCTCTTTTGGCTTAGAAGCTGCAAAAGAGTTTGCTATGCCAGCATTCGATATTCCTGGTTGTCACAACGTGAGTTTGCATTTTTGAATTTAACCTTTGCTGCAGCTTTCTTGGCTTCCTATACGTTGTTTTAACCTGCCATTTAATTTTACTTTACATGATAAATAAAAAGCCAATGGAATTTCTTAGATCGATTACGGACGAAACATCCAAAGATTACCGAATTAAAATTCAACACGGTACCACTACCTTAGCATTCAAATTTAAGGGCGGTGTTATGGTCGCAGTAGATTCTCGAGCAACAGCCGGAGGCTACATTGGTAATTGATTGATTTATTTGAATTTCAATAAAAATTAATTGCGCTTTCTAATTGAGATTATTGATCAACTTGTTTCAGCTTCACAAACCGTAAAAAAGATTATTGAAATCAATCCGTATCTTTTGGGAACAATGGCTGGCGGCGCGGCTGATTGTTCGTATTGGGAAAGAGAACTAGGAAGACGATGCAGGTGTTAAAGAAAACTAACAAATATTTTGTATTCTTAGACCAGTTCTTGAGTTAACGCGTATTTATTATTGATAGACTGTACCAACTAAAGAATAAAGAATTAATTTCAGTGGCAGCCGCATCAAAACTTTTAGCAAACATGGTTTATCCTTACAAGAGAATGGGGATTAGTATGGTTAGTTAACTAGAGTGTAATGTCGCGAAATTTTTCTTTTAATTATATCCGTATCTATTAATGAAATAAATAGGGTACCATGGTAACTGGATGGGATAAAACGGTAATTTTTTGAATGATTTCTCTGTATTGTTTCTATTTTCCTTCATTTATCATCTCTTTATATATACACAGGGACCAAATCTTTTTTATGTTGACGCGGATGGAACGCGTATAAAAGGCGAAATATTTTCGGTCGGTTCCGGGTCTACATTTGCTTATGGTGTTTTAGACTCAACACACGACTATGAATTGGAAGAAAATGACGCAATTGACTTGGCGAGACGCTCGATTTATCATGCAACTTATCGTGATGCGGGTTCGGGTGGTTCTGTGAGTGGTAAGTGTATATAGATGATCTTTTTTTGCTACTTTGAATTCGCGCAAATATACTTATTCATCATTTTTGTCTTACAAAAAAGTATATCATGTCAAAGAAAATGGCTGGCAATTTATTAGTACCCATGATGTGTATGATTTGCATTACGAGTACCAAGATCAACCAAAACCCAGACTTATCTAAGACAAGAGATTTAAATATTAAACAAATCCAAGAATTACATAGATATATTTTATTATCACTATTAAAGTTTAGTTAGGTATTTTTCTGATTACCTGCTAGTGATCTTTTTAAAGGAACATTTTGCATTACGTTACCTCCATTATTAAGATTTTTTAAATTCAACATTGAAAATCCGAACAGACCAATCAGCTCCACAACTTGCTAATTGCCACACATCTGAATTAGAATTAGTGCGTGGACACCATGTCAAACCATTGATACTAGCGACATGACCAAATCTTGTCAGATAGTACAAGATTTTTTTAGAAAGTATAGGAAAATAAAGGATTAATATAACAAGGAAGAAAACGAATTCAGCTCACTCTGTTTCAAACTCTTTTATCATACTCCATTTCTTCACATCGTTTGGCTCTGAACTGTATAAATGTATTTTTCCCGTCTCAGCCCCAATACACAAAATATAACTATAGTTAAAAAGAGATTCTTAACTGATGAAATTAAAAAAAAAAAAACCACTTGTAATATGTTTTCGCCTAAAATTTACCGGCCATCAATTGAATTCGGGGCAAAATCAATCGCTGTAATTGCCTCGGTTAATTTTAATGTAGCTATGAGAATCCACTGGTTCTGTTTAGACTCTGTCGCTTCACTTGTCAATGTCCATATATGAACCTGTAAAGCATAAAATAAGCAAACCTTATATAGATTTGGATATATTAAAAATACCAACCGTTTTATCTCGTGATGCAGTCGCAAAAGATTTATCATCATGAGTCCAAGAACAATCCCAAATGATGCGCGTGTGAACTTTATTCTTGGCAACCAATTTATAAGGAGGAACTGTAAGAACAAACGCATAAAAGTTAGATCTTTATTTATTCTAAAGAATGATCTAATTAAAATTACCTTGTGAACAGCGCTCGAAAAGAGACCAAAAACGATCTCTAGAAACGGACAACAAATATTTATCATTGTGAGAAAATTTAAGCTTAGTAACTGTTAATGAGTGAGATTGGAGTGGTTGCGGGAACTCTTTCCATGTATCAGTGCTATAGAGCCGAATAACAGCGTGCTCGGGAGATGTTGACTATTAAAAAGATGATCTTGTTAAATTCCAAATAAATAAACGTTAACATAAGTCATTCATGTGATGTCATACCTTGCATGAGGAGGCAATATATTTTCCATCATGACTAGAGTCAACACTAACAATTTCATACCCGTGACCATACCTGTAATATAATAAATCTTCCTTTAAATGTGTATTAAAATCAAATATCGATCTATAGGTATCTTTATCAATTATGAAAAATGGAATTAGAAACCCATTTAGGCAATATATATCTTTTCACAGTTGATAAAGACACCCAGGTAATATCAAACAAGAATTACAATTTATCGATCTCTGGCCATAAAGTATGTTGCAATAAATGTTCTTCGAATGGGGGTTTTTCCAAAACTTGAACCAATGAATTTGGTGTTGCTGATGAATGACTGTAGCTTTGACGACTCAGAAACTCTTCGGATTCAGCAGCTTTGACAAAATTCTCGATATCACCTTGAGATATCGCTTTGTTGGATAAACCTAAGGCGGGTAGATTAGCTCCAACAGGACGTGATTCCTTTGTATGTATATAATACATATATTGAAGGTAAATAAACTATTCAAAATTCCAAATTTGAAATTTAATATGAAAGTACCAATTCTTCCAAAATAGCTTCATTTTGAGACAGTTTGGCTAAAGAATGAACAAAGGTTTTTGGAGCCGCGAATACTCGCAATACCTAAAATCATAATTTTTGATTCTTAAAGCATATATGAATAAAAAACCATTAAGAAAATGAATCATGAACTAACTTTTTCATCTGAGCCGCTGATATAAGTCCAACGATTAACAAATGAAATACAATGAATATCATATCCGTGTATTTGTGTGCGAGAAATTTCATGCCAAGTAGAAATCGATTCATGAAGTTCTGGATTTGATAGGCGACGCCATGGAGCAAAAAGTCGAGCGGTTTGATCCAAGCTTAAAAGAATTGATGTTTATCAAATCAATACAAAGATTGTTCAAAACTAATCATAGCGATTGAAAAGAACATACCTAGCAGATAATAAATATTCAGATGTACAATCCCATGTTATGCTTTGAACAGAATTGAAATGACCACTAATGGAAACTTGAGGACGCCAGTCCTGGCTATCTTAAATAATTAAAGAACGTTAAGCAACGGATTACATATTTTCTTATCGTCGAATTTGCGATAATAATGATTCGATAAAATAGGCTAAATCAAACCTTCATCAAATACTTCATTTTTCCAAAGATGAAATGCGCCGGTGTGTCCATGAGCAATGATACATTTTCCATCCGGGCCAAATAAGCCCCCAAAAAACCCTAGAGCATATCCTCCAATTTCTCCAACTCGGACCTACAAAAATTGAAGTTAATTTTTATTATATATAAAATCCAAATGAAAAAAGTTTGACTGAAACTTACCACATTGACCCATTGACCAGTTTCAGTTTCCGGTTTCCACAGCATCATAGATTTATCAGACGATGCAGTAAGAAGAACCATTGGTTGATAATAATTTGATTTGTTTTCTGGGTCTAGGTTTATTTTTTTTTTAAGTAAAATAATGAAAAAAAAGGTTTTATATTATGTAAATTAAAATTTTTGTTACCAGGGATAGGAGGATGCCAGCAGACACTATAGACCCAATCATCATGTCCCATAAGCAACGCTTCGAACATAACACTATATCGTTGTTTCCTACAACGAACAAATAAAATAAAATAAAATAAAACAGAAATAAATGAGTAATCAAACTTGGATATATCAAAAAAAATTTTCTGACCTTGAGTTCTCTTCACCGTTTTCAAATATGTCAACATCTATGAAGTGAGCTTTGGTACTTATTTGTATTTTACCATCCGATCTAAAATATAAACCTGTTAAGCTTTTGAAAAATCATGTCTGTTCATAAGAAAACATTCAATATAACAATACACACCTTACGTTTTCTTTCAATTTCGTAAAAATATCACTGGATAAAATTCCAATATCAGCTGGTTGATCTAGCGCATTATTAGAAATCAAAGTAGTACTCGATATTTTCCAAATTCGCACATATTTATCCTGAGAAGCACTGGCCAATAAAAGATCTCCATCGCGTAATTTATAGTGATAATGAAATGACGGAGATGATTCCAAAGATGAATCTGGAAGCGCTGAAGGTTTTGTGTTTATTGCAAATGCAAGGGATCGGACCCAATTATCATGGCCTTGCAACGAAAGAGTTTGATGAAACTATAAATAAAAAATATTGTTTAAAAGAGTATTGATGAAAGATATAAAGCATAAGATTTTTTTGAAGTTAACATACCTGCCCATTTTTCTGAACATATATCGATATCCTTTTATCCGTACTTCCACATGCCATTATGGGAACTTTGAATTGTAAAAACATTAGTAAAAAACTGTGATAATTTATAGTTAAAGTGTGTAAAATAATACCATTAGATTCAGGGAGATATGACAAAGCCAATGCTAGCGGATATTTTACTCCCACATTGATTGTTTGAATGCATTCGATTTTATCTAATCAGATGTAAGTAAATTTATCATAAATTGATTCGAAAGATATAAACAACGCTTATTTGCAAGACTTATAAACCTTGTGCATGCTCAATAGTTCTTTCCCATAGTTTTATTTTGCCATCAGCCGATCCTGTAGCAAACAGGTCCTTCTCGACCAAGATAGACTTTGCACGCATAACACCAACAGTAGTGATAGCGCCTTCGTGTCCCAAAAGCACAGCGGAATTCACCCACTAGAAATATTTAAATTTTTAATAAATCAACTTAAAAAAATAATATCAAATTTAAAAATACCTGGCCATCCGAGCTTTTTTTCCAAATACGGCCAGTTTTATCAGCAGACCCGGAAATGATGGCAATATTTCTCTGATTTAATCCATTTCCTATAATTTCAGCAAAAATTTATTTAAATTTAAGTGAAACTTAATACAGTATTTTGTAAAAATACCTCGATTGATGAATTCGACACAATTTACTCGACCCGTATGTCCAGGTAATGTGGCAAAAACACCTTTATTTGTTTCATCCTATCAAAAAAAAAAACTATAATTGTACATATTTTATTTTATTTCAAATTTCATATGTCCATATACTCTTATTGACTCTTTTTTACCTGCGGATAATACAAGGCAATGAGGTTATGCGCACCATAGATAAGCAAACCGTCAGGTCCCCAAGCTGCAACTTGAGGGAGTCGATTGCAACCAATACTAATAAAATCTACAGATGTTTTAGGATTCAAAGACATTTTTTTCAAATAAAAATAAAACTTTTCGATTTGATTATAAAATCATGTGATTAGATTGGATACAGATTTCAACCAATTATCGCGTAGAATTCAATACGCGTAATTTGAAATTGGACAATTTAAAATCTTGAGAAATTTGAGAACTCTTATCTTTCACGCAATGTCGCAAAACGAAATAATTCCACCTTTAGATAAAGAGCCTATAATTGTTATTCCTCCTAGGTAAGAGGATAAATAAATGCCTAAATTTATAACGAAAAAAAATTTACTTCTGACATAACTTTAGAATTAAGCCTAGACCAGCCCCTAAAGTTACCTATGGTAAAAAAAAGGTGATGCAAGAGAATGACGATTCGTCAACAAGGTGAACATATTTCAATCCTATCGAATTTTGTATTCTCTTTATCGAAAAGCATTTATAATAACAATTATGCTATAAATAAAGTATGCGTGTTAAAACCAATAAGCACGCAATGGATAGTAACGAACAAGAAACGGAAAATTCGCAGGAAAATCGTTATCTGTATCCATCACCCGTTGCTGAATCTAAAAATCAAGTCAAAAAGCAAAAATTTTCGAGACTAAATAGTCCGTTGTCATCGCTTCAATCAAAGAATAATATCGTATCTAACATCACCAATGTGAATAACAACACATCCCGAAAGGCACAACAAAAACGCAAAAATACAGAAAATAATGGCCAACAAAACATCACCAATTTCTTTATTAAGCCTGCCAGTAGTCAGCAGTTGGCGCCGTCTTCGGCAAAAGTCAATGAACGCAAAAAACTTCTTGATAGCAACAGCAATATTCCGAAAAATTACATGGAAAATTCTCGAATCGAGAAGCAGCAATATCCTTTGATACCCCATTTTACCAAAAGGATTTTAGAGGATTCCAGCCTCAAGACACCTCCTACAACACCAAAGAAATTCGATGATTTCAACTCTAATAGTAAATTCGAGCAGCTATTCCTAGAATTAGGACAAAAAAATTTCGGTCCGATAACCTGTTCCGAATGTAAAATGTCTTACAGTAAAGGAACTGAAGACGACCTGGTTCATGACAGGTATCATCGAGGAGTTATTGGTGGTATTGATTACCCGGTAAGAGATAGTAGAACTGGAGTATTTTTCTATTAATAATAAAGTTAAATTAAAAAAGCCATGCTAATAGGGATATAAGAACGAAGTTGTCATTCAAGAATTTCCAGACAAATGTCGAGTGATTCTGTTTACTTATAGTCGCGCCAGTACTCATGAGAAACGGAAGGTAATGTTCAGTTTTTCTATTTTTATATATCCAGAATTTTTAACTTTTTTATTTTTTTTTACTTAGATCCGTGAAATATTAGAAGTTATAAAGTTGGAATTGAACTCTATAGAAATTTCGGAACAAAAATTATATCTTTGCAAAATATTCTTATATATTACTGCAAAGAAAAAGGTGGTCGGGTGTGTTGTTGCTGAGCATATATCTCAGGCTTATCGAGTCATCCCTGATGAGAATGCGGTATCATCAGAAAGTGGAGTTCGAGATGCTGGATCGGCAATCTTTTGCAGGTTAAAAATGTGAAATTTAATAGCTTTATTTATAACGGGAATTAAAAAAATAATTTTTACATCATCAAATAGTACAAAGAAAATTCCTGCAGTTTGCGGAATTAGTCGTATTTGGGTCTCTAGAGATTATCGCAGAAAAGGAATTGCTACAAAGATACTGGATCTTGTCAGGTATCATGTCATTTGATATATTTTATCAGCACGCGGAAATTATTTACATTAATGGCCTTTTGATCTAAAGAAACAAGTTCATCTATGGGTGTAATCTAAAACACGGCTCTATCGCTTTCTCGCAACCCACAGTAGATGGAAAAGCTTTGGCCACTCGTTATGCAGGCACAAGTGAATTTTTAGTATACACTGAAAATTAATGTAACAATTTAATTGTAAATAACTAATATACTGGCCACTTTTTCTCTAATTGGTCATCTTTAAGAATTATCCAAGCAGTTACTAAAAATTATTTAACAATTTTTATTAATCATTAATACTGAACATGGATTCTTTTTTATTAAATCGTTTTGCTAATCATATCAATTTTGACCAAATTTTACAAACTTTTATACTGATCTTAGAACCAATAATTTTGCTGGTTCAGTAACCTTGGTATTGAGATGCATCCATGGCTAATCCTTTGATTAAATATATATATATATATATATACTATCCTTTAGCAAATTTATTAGCAAGATTAATGAATAATGGATAACAATATACTCTAAAAACAAAAATTTCCATTTTTCGTCTTGCTATAAAAGAGAATAATAATCAATTTACTCCAAATTAGAAGGATATGAGAAATCTTCGATATTGATAAAGTTTTCTTTGATAGTTCGCATAGAAATAAAACGGTACAACTGAAAAAAAATATAATTATAAAATTATAAATTTCAATTTTTACGTATGCAAATCAAATAACAGTCTGCGTAGTTCACACACGTACCAAGGTTGCACTTCCAGCCTTGTCATTAGTACCAGAGGCACGAGCACCGCCAAAAGGTTGTTGGCCTACCATAGCACCAGTAGATTTTTCGTTCAAGTAAAAGTTTCCAGATGCATTACGCAATTTATTATGGCCGAGTAAAATGGCATAGCGATCTTGTGCGAATCTTTATGATGAAAATTTAATTAGAGGCATAATAGTAGGGAAACCGAAAAATAAAGAAAAAAGTAAAAAATAACTACAAGGCTCCTGTTAATGCATATTCTGAGGTTTTGTTAACAAGATCTAATGTTTTCTCGTAGTCTTCCGATTTGTATCTATTCGAAAGAGTAGCATATCAACGTTATATTATATACAAGAAATCCTTAAAGTAATATGAAGATAGATTCCTAAACTTACACATAAATAGTAAGAACAGGTCTAAAAAAGAATGAATCAGTCAATTAAAAATTAAGACCAAAAAATAGTATTCTTGACGCGCGCAAATATACAAATGAACTTGCCCAAAAATTTCTTCGGCAATTGTTTTACTGTTTGGATCTGATGTTACTATTATGGTCGGATGAACAAAGTAGCCTTTAGAGTCATCATAGATTCCACCCGCGATAATTTCACTGCTCGCATCATCCTTCGCCCATTCGATATAACGTTTTATCTTTTCAAATGAGGCTTTGTGACTAAAAAAATATCAAAAGGACAAGTTTAACTTTTCATAAAAATTCAAAATTTGACAAAAAAATATGACATACATGACAGGTCCATAGAAGTTTTTAAAATCTAATAAAAAAAAAGAATTTATCAAAAGTATGTGTATTTATGAATATCAGCACTAGAGAGTTAATTAAAGAAAAAAAGCAAACCTTCAACAGGACCAATTTTGATCTTTGCATGTTCAGTAAGCAATGTTGTACGGAATTTATCCCAAACCGAATCTGCTACATAAACACGCGAGGTTGCCGAGCATTTTTGCCCAGCGTATTCGAATGCACCACGAATAGTTTGAAGAACAGCATTTTCAATATTTGCAGATTCATGAATCACATGAAAATTCTTGCCACCGGTCTCTCCAACTATTCTCGGATAAGATTTATAAATCTCAATATTATTGCCAATATCTCTCCATAGTTTTTTGAAAACGTGTGTTGATCCTGTAAAGTGCAATGAAGCAAAGTCGGGTGACTTGAGTATTTGCTCTGTAATATCTTCGGCCGGACCTGGAACAAACTGAATAACTCCATCGGGTAGGCCAGCTTCACGCAATATTTCTAATACAATCCAGTTGGATAACACGGCACTGGGTGAGGGTTTTAACAGAACGACATTACCCATCAAGGCTGGTGCACTAGGTAAATTACCACCAATGGCAGTGAAATTAAATGGAGCGATAGCGTAAACAAATCCCTCAAGTGGTCGATACTCGACTCGATTCCAGACACCAGGCGAATTAATTGGAGGTTGCTGTTGATAGATTTCTTGCGCGTATTTTGCATTGAAACGCCAAAAGTCTATCAATTCAGCTGCAGCATCGATCTCGGCTTGCCTTGTAAGATTGAAGTAGTTTGATTAGAATTATTGTAAAGAGAAGGGTGAGCTTCCGAATAAATACATTTTAAGACTAGAACAAGAAAAAATACCATGCATTTTTGCCCTGTCCAAGCATGGTTGCAGCCAATAATTTGTATCGATACTTTACGGATAACAGGTCGGCTGCTTTCAAAAAAATAGTAGCACGATCATTAAATGGTAAAGCCTCCCAATTAACTTTAGCAGTCAATGCTCCTTTAATGGCTTTATCAATTGTTGCATGATCGGCCGCATGATATTTGGCAAGAACGGTCGCATGATCTGATGGAATTCGTTGCTCTTCAATCTTACCAGTGCGAATCTATTGAATATATTTTTATTTGTATATAATCTTTTACAATCAATTGGAAAATCAATTTTCAGATTTCTAATATTTTACCTCTTCGCCGTTTACAAGAATGGGTATTTCAATTGGGGCTTTTTTTCGGAGTTCTTTTAAAGCAGCCTGCAGTTTGGCACGTTCTTCACTATGGGGAGAATAAGTTTTCTATTATGCGAAAAAGTTTTTTTATTAATTTATCCATCAGTGAAAATTCCAATAGGTTTGCGTACATTTCCTTGCAATACACACCATAGGTTCATTTCTGATTTCAGGTATTTTAAAAATACCAAGGTTTGCAACTTGTGGTTGAGACATTATTAGTATTTTACAGCAGAAAGTAATTTTCTAAAGGAGCCAGAAACAAGCCGTTATATCCTCGTGTAATTATTTTTACAGATTCAGAAATTTATTAAATTCAAGTAATTTTCCCACGATCAAAATTACCAAATTTGGCATCTGTGGGAAAAAAATTCGAGGCAAGGATCAAATGCTTACCCCCTTATGTAAAATTAATTTTTTTTAGTAAAACAAATTAATTGTGGCAGATTACTATGAGTCCATACTTAACCCTTTTCCATAATTGTCACCAAAAAAAGAACCAAAATTATTCAAATAAGGTCACCAGACTTCATTTTAATCTGATTTCATTTTAACGTTAATTATTGTTCTGCAGACAAAATTCACGGTGCAATTTCTTAACATTAAGGTTTAAATCTTCTACAAAGAAAGGGAAGGGGTATGCAGCGCTTTACATTACGGAATTACTTTATATATAAAAGTTTTTCGTTACCGTTACGAATTAATAGAGTATTTATAACTGAAATGAAATAAGATTGTATAATTAACAATATATGGATAAATTCAAAAATTCAAAAATGGCAATAATACGCACCGACACTTTTTACAATGATAGAAAATTGTTTGTCCCTCATCAGCAGACCGAAGTTGCATTGTGTGGAAACTCATTTCTTCGTTTCCACATTGTGGACATTTATCTTTAATCTTTTTATTATCACATAGAAGAATAAGAAATAAAAAAATCATAAATGATAATAATATTTGTTTAAATCTTACAGTTGCTGCTTCTTCATCCGTTTGATTTTTTTTCTGAATTTTTGATCGTTTTTCCCTTAATCGAGACTTGAATGAGTTTGGATTGCTTTTTGATACTACTATTAGGTCATCATTGAATTCTTTTTTTCGAAGGAGTTTAATGTAGTTTAGACTAGAGAAATTAAACAAAATATTTATTTATCTATTAATTTAATTTAACCTTCGATCTCGAGTGAATTATCACAAACTTGACACTCGACAACTTTTCCCTTTTCATCAAAATGCAATAAATTTCCACATTGACCGCAGAATATGAGAGACCCGATTATATTTCGAGGGTTTGATTTTTTAGATGTCGAAAATAAATGACGATTATTCTGACTTTGTTCAGTCATTCTTATTCATGACCAAAAAAAAAAGATATCCTATTTAATAATTATTAGATCACATGATAATTAATCATTTCTATACAACAATGTGACTATGCTAAATTAAGTTCTTATTCTCCTTTTTCCCCAGCATTATTCTTGGAGCATTTTTTATCATCCAAAAGATTGTTCAAAAATACACCCAGTCTATACCCGCCCTTAGCAATTTGTATATCAATAATCGGTTGAACTGCGCTATAATATTCTTCTGATAGGTCAACGTCAGGATTATCATCCACATACTGCCAAACGACTTCACAATTAACACTGTTGGTATCAGTCGCCCAGACAAAAGGACATCTTAGACTCTCGGCTTCTGCTCGTTTTTGGAAGAAGGCATTATCGAAAAAATCTCTACGTCTTTTTGAAGACTCACATGCGATCCAATCTGACACGTTTTTTGCGTACGATCCTTTTTGGATTTCGTTTGTGAGAAATTCGGCGTATTTATTTTCGTCATTTCCAAAGTCTTTGAGACGTTTGACCACCATCCCTGTATCCCATATTGAATGGAGACTAATAATAAATTGATAAAGTGTAAATGTCTCAGAATGGAAATCATTAGATGTATATATGCTTATAAATGAATACATAATGTGGAATTACTTACTTGCTCTGCTTTCCATCGAACATAATTTTATGTTGATTTCCTCCAAGTTCACGACCACAGACATGAAGTGCTAAAGAGATAGTTTTTAGTTTAGTTGCTTTTCTTTTCGAGAAAGTAATCATTTCATATAACTTACGTTGAGTTATGTCGCCAAAGAAGTGAGCCAAGAATCGAAGTGCAACATCCCGAGTTTTAACACTGCCGCCATTCCCGCAATCAAGCTGTTCGGTGTAATTCGCAATGGCTAAATTTTAGATGAAAAAAGAATTTTTTGTTTATGTCTGCACTTTATATAATTACATTTTTATCGAAGAATTCTATTACGATACTAACCACCAACAATACATTGACCATCCGGACAATCTTTTTTCTATTATGGTAAATTCAATTCAATAAAATCAGAACATCGACATTTATATAGCTACAATTAAAATTAAACTTAAAATTAAAATTAAATTAATCTGGTTTACCTTATCAACCGAGCAACTATTCCCTGGGTCATCATGCGTATCCATATAATGCAACGGCGCACTCCATCCAGCAAATTCGTTTTTACCACGCTTAACTTCATCAGCCCAAGTCGAAGCAGGACCAAGTTGTCCATTATATTTTTTTTCTTGGAAAATTTGCTTTACTTTTAATGCCACGTCGGGCTTGAGTATCTTTTGGGCAATATTACCTACGGTAATGTGCCCTTGAGCACCCCATGCATGAGTTTTTACCGCTGATATGCTTACGAATGCAAATAATGCAAGAATTCTTGATGATTTCATTCTTGTAATTACAATAATAAATACAAAATTAAATATGAAATTTCTATAATTCTAAATATAATTCAGAGATACTATACAATAATATCTCGAAAGGGATAGGAAGGGGGGTGAGTTAAAGGAAGAATAGGAGGTCTAATTAAAGAAATCTTAAAATTATTCGGGCCTTATTTATATTAAACTTTCCGCGAAAATGGTTGTTACATTCTTGAAACGCGTTTTTCGAAAAAAATCAATAGATATCGATCATCATTATACGGTATATGTATAATGCACACGTACTACACACGCGAGACGGCCGAAATCATTTTTATGCTACCAAATTCGGTGTAAAAGGCTATCCACCCATATGCATTTTGATTGTTCAATGATTCGTTGTTCGCTTTATTCACTCAATAAAATAAAACGGCCAGTAACAATGATAATTTTTACATTTAGTAATTTTGATTTGTCAAAATTTCAACAACTCTATATAATGGTTCTCTAGAACCTTTCATTCTTGCACAAATGAAAAATTAGCCTATAATATTTGATAAAAGAAGCATTTGTTTGTCTTATCAAAAAGACAAGCATTGTTTTATTTCTGGATATACTCCATTGTAGCACGTTACCAATCATCCGTATCCATCGTTCTTAATAAAATTACATTAAAGCAGCTGAAAGTCCCAATGTCTATAGCTATTGTGACTTCTTAGAAATTACAATGTTTAGAGGTTACAGTGTAGGTTCCTCTTATAAACGGATCTGGCCTTTGACCTTTAGAACAGTTTCGGCGAGTAGGAACCTTATTATTATTATTCACTTATAGGTTTTATCATTTAAATCGGCTTAAAAGAGAATTATTGTTCTGTTCACGTTACAAATTAACGATATTCGAGGATTAATTCAAAAGTGCAAGGACTTACAAAAACAGTATCTAAAAGGTATCAATTTCTCCTTAATTTTTTTTTTTTTGACTCGAATAGCAAATTATTTGGTTTACTTCCAGTAAGGTAAACTTCTCAGTGGTTTCTTCAATCAACATCAGGATTTCGCGATCTATTTTATAGCAATTCGACGATTAACAAAACGGGTTTTATTACAATAAATACAAAGAAATACATAGTAACTTTTTACTGGATGCTCAACCATGGGAACTTATTTGTCAAGATGAGAAATCACATTATCTCGAGTCTGATCAATGGATTCCGTAATACATCAAATTTTCCCATCGAATCTCGTGATTCGTGATTAAGTATCGGTGTATCCAAAAGTTTTGTTCCCGATTACAATGAACACAAGTAATTAAAGATTTCTGAACAAATGGGTAGTAACACAAATAAATTTGTTGATCGGACCACTTCGAAAAACATGCAGAAAAAAAAGTAAAAAACTATATTTAGTGCTTTGATAACTGATAATTGATGATTGAAATGTTAATATAATTTCAAATTCCTCAGTTGTTCAATCTTCCTCATAAAATATCAGAAGTCTAACATACGATTTTTTTGAAAAAGTTCATCACAGAATATTTGAATAATCATCAATGATGATGATGCAACAATTGTGATAGTAATTATTGAAAATTTACCTCCTCAATCTCCTTGATGATGAATAGCGACTAATTGATGTGTGTGACACCAAACTGATAAAGAGGCAAAGGAAGTTCAAGGATTTTTTCCGAAAAAAAAAGAATACCATCTCTCTTTGAAAGTGGGGTATGACAAAGTTTTCGGTAAAATTTCTCCAGCTAACATGTAGCTGTGCATAATCGCAGCTCCCGCGGAGCCGCGTTTTTAATATTTAAACAAAAAATGGTGGAAAGGCAAAAGATTAATTTGTTTCATGTTTGTTAATGGTCAGTGAACTGTAAGTATACATCTTATTTCTGATTGATTGGATGAAAAAGCATAATTTTTAATATAAACGTGACAATGAGTTAAATGGCGAAATCCGATAAAACTCGTAAACGCCATTCTTTCGTATAAAAAAATCCCACGCTATCTGAAATTTCGTCTATCAATAGAATCTGTCATTCTCAAATTGTCTTGTGACCAACTATTTATTATTATCATATTTTCCCTAGTCTAGTAACTTGGTTCCCTACTTATTTTTATTGTATTAAAGTCAACCACAACCTTCTTTTCATCAAGAATTACAAATATGGCTTCAAGCAACAGATCCCTAGAGCATGGAAACTCGAGAGAACCATCTCTAGTCGGTAATTACGTTGTCGGCATTGAAATCGGACGCGGCTCTTTTGCAACAGTATATAAAGGTTGCCATAAGGTGGAAACATTTACGTTAACGTACCTTCCCTAATGTTATTACACGTGCCTTGACGCTTACTATGTGAGCATTTTCGTACAAGAGCAATGTTAATTGACATTCTTTCCGTCATTTGCCTTTACATAGCGAACAAAACAATCTGTCGCTATCAAGTCTGTATTACGTTCAAAATTAACGGGAAAACTACTGGAGAATCTAGAGTCAGAAATAGCAATCCTTAAAGGAATTCGACACATTCACATTGTTCAATTGGTTGACTGTCAGGTACATACACCTTTCCATGTTTCTATCATAAACATCCACGCCATATAACATTACTATATTTAGAACTCGGATGCGCATATACATTTAATTATGGAATATTGTTCCATGGGTGATTTGTCGAATTACATAAAAAGACGCGGTGATATGAATAGTACAAACGCAGTAGCGCCATCGTCTGGTGGTCTAAGCGAGTATGTGGTACTACATTTTTTGAAACAATTAGGTAAGCTAACCTAAAAAAAGTACATTTAAGGGAATTAATTGTTTTTTTTGTGAGAGTTGATGGGTGATTCATCTCTTTAAAGAGTGAATATAATATCATCAAATTCACAATTACCCACGTAAAAGTGGATGATTACTGGGACGTTTTCAAATATCGAATTGCTTTACAACCCAAATTCATTGTACGTTTTCTCAGCAAACGCGCTGGAATTTCTACGGTCTCAGAATCTAATACATCGAGACATCAAGCCACAGGTAATAAACTATCTTTACAATATTACCATATATATTAGTCTGAAATTAATTGTTATTGTCATTATCCGTAGAATCTATTACTATTGCCACCATCTAACGATAAAGAAATATTATCTTCATATGGGTCACCTGACCTTCCTCTTTTGAAAATTGCTGATTTCGGCTTTGCTCGAATACTACCATCCACAAGTTTGGCAGAAACATTATGCGGATCGCCACTTTACATGGCACCTGAAATCCTGAGATACGAAAAGTATGACGCGAAAGCGGATTTATGGAGTGTAGGTGCAGTGTTATATGAGATGAGCGTGGGTAAACCGCCATTTCGTGCACAGAATCATGTTGAATTGCTTCGAAAAATAGAGAAAAATGGCGATAGGATAAAATTTCCAGGAGACATAGTGCAACAGAATATTGGTGGTAATACCCGATTAAAAGATGATCATCATCCTGAGGGACAAACCATAATTAGCGATGATTTAAAGGATCTAATAAGACAATTATTAAAACGGAATCCAGTTGAACGAATATCTTTTGAAGAATTTTTTATGCATCCGTGCGTTGCTGGTGAGCTGCAACTACTAAATCCTCCTTCATCCTCCTCATCCTCTTCAACCACTTCAAAACAAAAGCTTTCTTCTTATGAATATAAAAACAGACCAAAAAGTTATGTGCGACCCAATCATGATATCGAAAATAATAACTACAATAATCACAATCAGCATAATACAAGAGACCGATCAAAATCTTCCCCTGCAGTCCCTTTGCATAAAGATGTAGATATAGGTATTAATAATTATCAAAGTAGGGGTCATCATGTACACAAGACTCGCAATAAAGACATTGAAGGAGCGTCACCCAAAGGAATCATCGCTTTAACCACCACAGGACTTGATGTGCAACAGAATCCTGCCGTGTTACAGAAAAAAACGTCAAAAGATAGAATAAAACATCAAACATATCAACGGTACATTTTATGTGTTTTCTATTTTTCTTATAATTTTTTCACGATTTGGCAAAAAATGCTTACTTGTGTGGAACTTCTTGAAGCACCACTCGATATCCTCCAAAAATTGGACACCTGGGCAATGAAAAATTTGAATCATCAAGAACCAACGATAATGAACCACAATTGAATTCACATCCTTCTGACGCCAATTCACCATCGGCATCTTTATTAATACAAAATTCGGATAAAAATGTAGAAACATCCAAGAAACGTGTGGATGTAGATGTTCGGCGATTGAGTCGTGCTGAGGATGACGTGCTTCTCGAAAGAGAATACGTCGTGGTGGAAGAGAAAGGCACGATAGAAGTTAACGTACTCGCAGATGGTAAATTTATTTTTCATATGAAAAATTGCTGCATTTAAATTTTTTCAATATTGTGGTTTTTTATACTCACAATTAAAGAAATTGTTATTTCGCCAAAACTTAATGAAATAGTAATTAAAGATACCGCGAAAAATACCGATAATCAAGCGTCAGATAACAAATCTCCTGAGGTACAATTTCGTACAAATGTTCCATTACAAAATCCGTCAGCGGCCTACTTTTATTCTACTACTCCTCCTTTTGCGCTGCCGGTTAATCATGAGAGAGGAAGTTCTTCTGGTAGTAATGGTAGTGCTTCGTCAGCTCTTGCCAGGGCCTTATCTATGGCTTCTGTGCGTTTATTTGGAAACGGTGGCTCGCCACCTTCTTGGAGTGATAGATATTCAAAAGCAAAGGGAAACCCTATTGGAACCAGTAGTGATGCTATAAGCGATTCTGAAGAGGTAATTCATTTACACAAATAGAAGAAACAGTCTAAGGTTGCTTTTAAATATTTTTAATTGTCTTTACAACAGGAAACTGTCGTTAAAATCATCGAGGATGCAGCGAGAAAAGCTTATGTGGTTTACCAGTTTGCCGATAGTAAATATTACCAATTGTTACCTCCTCCTCCTTCCAGCAATGATCTAGTAGATACCTCTCCTCTTACTGCAGAAGCTGCTATCGCTCTAGCAGAAGAAGCTTTGGTTCTTTATGTAAAAGCGCTATCTTTATTAAAAGCGGCGATGGATAGTGCCAAGCAATATTGGGCTGGCATCGGCCATCGAAAAGCTGATTATCCGGGTATGAAAGTTGCTTCTCACAAATTGAATAATGGTAAGTGATAAATAGCCACACTTTTTTTTGAAAGCCTAATTAATATTTGGAAAATATAAATGTATATATGCACAGCTGTTCAATGGGTACGTAGCCGTTATAATGAATGTCTAGAGAAAGCCGAATATGTCAAATCTAAGTGTCAAACAGAAGACGAACGGGGTGTTGGAGCTGTCCCGGAGAAATTATTGTATGATCGTGCATTGGAAATGGTAAGCAATTATAAACTGGTAAACAATTGTAACAAAGCAGAGAAACAGAGCCTCTGGATATTAATTTAAATTCGTTATTTATTTAGAGTCGTCAAGCCGCTCTTGATGAACTAGAGAATGTCGATTTACTTGGATGTGAACGAGCCTATCAGACAGCTATTTTAATGCTTCAAGCCATATTAGACAACCCTCAAGATGAGCAAGATAGTATGGATGAAGATGATAGACGAATAGTAAACAAGTGTATGAACTATTCTTAATATAAATGATGCGTTTGATAACTATTGATTATATACTAAAAATAAAAAAATTCTTTTAGTTATTTTATCTATAACCAACCGTCTTAATTCATTACAAAAGAAATCCGCACGCCCCGAAACTAGAGTTTCTACAAGCTCCCAAGGAAGTCCCGGTTAATTATATTTTGTTGGTTGTTAATCGAGAGTCTTATTATTAATAACGACGACGACGACAACGACAACGACGTGATATCCATTGGCTATAAAAGATTATGAAATGGACATTGGCTCAAAACTAAGCTAAGCAAAGCAAAACATTAGTTTCAAGACAAAATATTTTCTTTCAAAGAGAGAATATAGATTCAACAAGATTGAATTCTGGGTGGGTGATGGACAATTTTTTTTAATAATAATGAGCCCCATTATATACTTTGTATTTATATGTATTTGGCGTATATGCACACTATTTCTTAGAGTATTAATATTCGCCATTTTGTGTATAGCTGCTCCCTTCTATTTTGCTTTATTCCTTTATCATGTTCTGTATCCAAAACATGTATATTATTTATAAAGATATGATTCAACAAGATGCTAATAAGTTTTTTACCAACGATATCACGCGATTAATAATAATGATTCGATAATCAATTTTACTTATTAGCAAGCTTTTCCTCAACTATTTTTTGTGATGCGAGCAACTCTCGTTTTACTCGCAAGAAACTTGAAACATCTTACATTTAAACGTGCACAAAAAGGTTTATTCCATGGTAAACGTATACAGTTTGGCAACCAAGTCTCGGAACACAAAAATAAATCACCTCGTACCTGGTTACCAAACGTAAGAGTAGGACGTCTATGGTCGGAAACCTTTAAACGTTGGACAAAAATAAAAGTTACCACAGCCGCATTACGTACCATTGATAAAAAAGGCGGTCTAGATCGATATTTATTAACGACCGAAGATGAACTTCTGGGTGCACGTGGCGTAAAGATGCGTGGATACTTGGAAACGAGGTTGGCTTGGATTCAGAAACAAAAATATCCGAATTTGGAACAAATTATTGGGAGAAAAATGTACGAGAGGCCACCTAAACCGATACAGTATAAAGAAGGAGAAGATCCGGCAGAGTGGGATGATAATAGGAAATTGTTGGAAAAGTTTCGAAGAAAGATGCGTTCGAAGAAAAAACATAATTTGGTAAAAGAGTCAAATGAACCAAAGTTGTCAAAATATGCATATACTAAAATTTTGGAAGCTGAAGGGGATCCAACGAATACGTTCATCAAACCATTGAAAGTTTATCAGGAAGCCAGTGCTGTTGCTATAGCTACAAAGCTTTATTTAGAAGCTCAGGAAAAAGGCCAAAAGGCATTGAAACATAAGAAAAACGAAGAAAGTATTTTGAAATCGGAATTTATAAACAAGCCATCATCATCAGAAATTGTGAATGAAAGTACAAAATTGCAATCAAAGAAACATTTAGAGAAATCAAACAATAATAATTAATATGGTAAATATAAAATAATATTTTATTAAGTCAAAAAATTCCAAAATAAACTATCTTTGAATATAAGGTATTTTAGTTTGTCTATTAATCTAAAATTTTGTATATTTCTATATATAAATAAAGCATTATTTCTTTAGTTAAGTTATTGAGATAATTGAATAATCCAGATAGTATTAATTTGAGAGTTTGTTTGATGATATTAGCTTCAAATAGGTTATGAAGAAGTTTAAATAATTCTTTATCTTGTTTTTTTTGTAAGTTCAGTGTTGATTATTTTTCTTACAATATTAACAAATTAATGATGAATTTCAACTTCAATTGGTTTAGATGGATCCAGTTTTGAAAGGTGATTTTAGTTGTATTTAGCTCCAATTTTTTTACCCTTTACAGAGAGAGCACCAAAAAGCTATTATCATTTTTATATTGATAGACAAGATATTAACTAATTATAGTAATTAATTAAAAAAATTATATAAAAATGATAATAATGACTATGTGTACTTGAAAGGGTTGAATACTAGATGGTTGAAAGAGAGTATTAAAAAGAAATAGATTCTGATATTTTCACTAGTTGAACAAGTATTTTATAATTTAAAAGTGTGAATAACTTATTAAAATACAAAAGATGATTTTCATTAGTTGGATAAGTCAAAGTTAAGTAAATAATAAATCAAAGATAATAATAAGCAAAAGATTATTTAAAAGTATTAATTAACTTCTATACTTTATTACTTTCAAAATTACTATTAAAAATTCTTGTTATTCTATGTTAAATTATATTTGTTTAAATACATGTAAATGTAATATAGATCTATATGATGAGTAATGTTACTTAAAAATAATTATAAGATTAATTTGAAAGAAGTATAATACCAAGAATTGATAAGTGTAATACTAATTTAATTTAAGTAATACAATTTAAATTAGAATGACATTAGCACTATATTAATTAATATTAAATGAAATTAATTTAAAATAAAATGAATTTAGATTTAATAATGTTATATGATATTAGAAATCTATAATCATCAATCACGTGAATTGTTTTAATTTTTCACATAATTACGATTGATCAATAATATTACAATGATTAAATATATTGAATTATACATATTTATAATATTTTCAAAGTTATAAATACTAATTATTATCTATCTAAATTTATTTCTCTTTTAATAATTTCAGGCAAATGATAATGAGACTTATACTTGTTAATAATTCACTTAGTGATTCTACCTTTTAACTCTTTATTATATGCATTCATATACCTTCAAGATTTGTGAGTGAATTTGCAAATTATTATCACAGAAACATTAACAAGAGTCTCTGAAACTTGCTGTAATAAGTTAGCATAATTATAATTACATACTTTTCTTGTCTCTCATTTCATATAATTCTAGTATCTCTCTATAAAATTGCATTCGCAATGAAACTTGGGATAATGTTCAAAAATATGTCCTGCTTTAGTGACTATCTCCTCAAGCATCAATAGTTGTTCACAAAAATCAAGTTACTATGACATGATTCATTATGCACAGCAGTTCAAAATTTTTGAATTATCATCATTTTTCTCTGAGCACTGTTCACATACTAAACAAATTTTTTTTGCTGGTCATAGATTATACTCTTCAAGTATTCATTTGATTCCTTTTGGTTATCCTCTCAGCCTTATCACCGGATAATTATCTGAAAATATCATTAATTGATCGCATTTCTCTTCATGTTCATTAATATACCATCTATTACGCATTTTAGGTTGTTCTTCTCCAGAACTCAGGTTCATTCTTGTCACAATTAATATATTTGCTACCATGACATTATAATTCATTGATTGATCGAAACAAAAAATACAAACACATTTGAAATGCAATATCTCAAAGATCAGAATTACTTTCTGTATAAATTGATCTAACATATGTTCTGATTTCCAGTACCCATCTGACTGTATAGAATGAAGAATGAATATCTCCTTGTATTTTATATGTGAATTCACCTGCATCTGCTCATCAAATAGTCATAATAATTTGTGACATGAACAAAAAAAGGCTGAAATCATAATGAAACATTTCATGTGTTTTGAGCATAGGATATCTTCATTTTTTTTGATTCAGATTCTCTATTGTTCATTATTTGCGTAAAATGACATTTGTTATATATTGCTTGCATGAATTCGTTTTCTCTGGGATTAAGCTGGAATTCCAATACAATATTCAACATATTACCATTGAAGTTTTTCATGTATCTTCTATACATAAACATTTTACTCAACCATTTTTTTCTATAGATCACTACATCTGATCACTTGTGTTCATCATAATAAACACCTTTTTTTTCATCATATCTATATTTCCATAAATACATATAGATTCAGTATGTTCTTTCAGAGATGATATTTTTTTTAATGCGTTTTATCACTTTGGAGAATATCATTTCTTTGATATACATTTTTAAGACTCCAAAAAAATATGACTCTGATATTTGCTAATGTAGCCAAGCTCAACAATCTTCAGAAAAATCTTTATTTTTGATTAAGCTTTTTAGTTTTGTATGCTTTTCCTAATGATTAACAAGAAGTTTCTCTATTTGTACGTAATTTTCTAATGCATTTCACCAGGTAATCTTCTTTACTTCATATTGTTTGTGCAATATGAATGCTGGTATCTATCTTACTCTTTTCATCTAACAACAACTTAATAAATCTACTTATGTTCAGAAAGTGTAAATAATTGTATATAGATATATTAATTTTTGAAGATTTTGTAATTGAGCATTGCCAGTTAACTTTTTCCAAATGCTTTTGTAGTTTTGCAGTGATTTTAGCAGATAATTTTGAGTTATGTATCACTATTGGAGATATTCATACTATAGTGTCAATGGATGATATCAATAAAGATAATTGTGATAAAGTATTAATTAATAATATTGCTGAAGATGATTGTGATGATGGTGTTATGATATTATTGGATGAATTCAAATGCATTTGTGATTTTGTTATAATTTCAACAGATAATGATAAGTTATATATAATCATGAAAGGAGATATTTATGTTAATGGAGATAATTGTGATATTAATAATAAAGTGTTGATTGATAGCATTGCTGATAATGGTTGTGATAATTGTATTACAGTAATATTAGATAAGAATTGTTGTGACAAAGTAGTTGATGTTTCAATATTTAATAATGCATTAACTTGTTTTCTTTTTTTCTCCAGATTGTTATCCTTGACATTTCAGTATATGATTCTCTAACGTATTTTGTCTCAACAGTCTCTTCCTGTATTCTAATAGCTTATATTTGCATCATGAGTTCTTCATGTATATCAGTGATTTCTTGAAATGCAAAGTAATCTAGCTTTCTAGATAAGTCATTTATATACTGTTTTCTTTTATTAGGATGCGATATGATAAAGTAATTAAGAGTAAGATTTTTTGTTTATCTGGGTCTCAGTAAGTTATGATATAAATAAAAATAATCTTTAATATTATCCAGATCCTTGATTATATAGGATTTATTTGCCCATTATAAAATTCTACCTTAATTAAATTAATAAAAATATATTTATTTATACAATAATTTAGTATCAAATTCATATTATTCAAATATTTATTAATGAATATGTCAAGCTCAAGCTAATTGAAGATGGTAATTCAGGAGATTGAATAATTATATTACGTTGTTACGGCCCGAAATTATCCTTAATTCCTTAATTTCTTAATTCTGATTATGTGACTCAACATAGATTGTAGAGATAGCAGAGATAACAGAGTTCTTAGATATATCAATATTATTCACTATATCATATTTATCCGACATGTATAACATATCCCACATTATAATAATTTAATCATAAATTATTTTATATAAATAAAGAATCTTTTGGATAAACCAAAAGGCATCAATTGATCAATACAAAAATCTAGCTAGTCAATAAACTGTCCTTGTTTATTGTTAATGAAATTTGTACACTTAATTGATTAAACAATAACTTATCAAAATACTTGCATTTATTGTGCACTATTGGATAACTGCCAAAGTCGCTATAGAATATCAGTACTATATTGCTATAGGACTGTCCCACACTAAGTAAAAATAATATCTATTAGTAATAGTGAGAGTCTATCTAAAGATAGAAGAAAATGCACTGCGTGATGATTCTGAAGTACACTAACTACGATGAGATTGAGTAACTGTAAAAATACCGTCATTAGACGTTGGTTGAACACCTACATCATGATTATACTTACCAGAAGCCTGATCGTGACAACATGTATAATGTATTGGCATACTAATGATAATGAGTTAATATTATATAATTTGTACTTAGAACTTTAAGTTCTTTTTATATAAATACTTTGAATTTGATACATAAATTAAATTTTATAAAAGTGAAGAAGTGATTCCTAAAATAAAATACTAAATCTGATACACAATTTATTAAAGATACATACTTATAATTATTATGCTACTTATAATTGTTACAATAATAATTTACTAAGAATTTACTCTAATTGACTTAGTCAACATTATTACAGTGTCACAGCTAGACACACATGATCAAATTCCCACAGATCTTCTCAATACGTTAAGTTTTCAGTACAAAAAGAAAAAAAATCAATTACTAATTACAATATTAATATCACATTAATTTTTAAGATTATGATGACTTATTAACCCCTAAGCAACTTGAAATATCCTCCAAAGAAAAAGAAACTTATGAATAATTAACCAAAAACAGTTCCAAAACAAAATTTAGTATTATTCCAGTTCTTTTAACAATATTTATATAGCAGAAGATCTTTAACAGGTCTCTTCTTACAGTTATAAGAGGAGATAATAGATCAAGTTAAGTTTATTATTAAGAAAGTTATACGTTATAATTATGATAAGTTCAAGATAGTTTTATTAACAAAGCTTTTTTATTACTATACTTTTCACTATTGCTATCTTTGTCAGCACTTTGCATATAGACTATACAAGTATATAATACAAGAATAAC